GCAAAATAAAAGAAAAAAATATAGTTTATTGATAAAAAATTGCTGGCATTGGTAAAATTAACTATTATGACTGAACTAATACTTATCAAGACTAGTGAAAGTGAAAAAATAAAGAAATTTTGTCAGCAAGAACATATTAATTACGAAATCTACCAAGAAGAAATTCCAGCCAAACAAATTAGTGAATCCGAACTAGAACAAGCTTATCGAGAAGCTTGAGGCGATCCCCAAAGATATCAAGAAGCCCAAAAATGAGAAAAAGCGGCGGTCAGTGATTGAGCTGAAATAATTAAAAAGGAAGAAAATAATGGCTCAACAATTAATTAGGCGAGGAGAAGTTTATTGAGTTGATCTATCTTTTCCTAGCAAAGAGGAAAAAGAAAAGGGCATTACTCATGAATTAAAAGGTTTTCATCCGGGAGTAGTTATTTCTAATAATCAGCAAAATCGTCCTTTGATAACTATTATCCCGCTTACTTCCCAACTAGATAAAGTTTATCCTTTTGAGGTAGAAACTAACTTAAATAATCGCAAAGGTAAAGCTCTTACTGACCAAATTACTACTATTGACAAAAAAAGATTAGGAGATTATTTAGGACAATTAGACAAAAAAACCATGAGAGAAATTCAAGAAGCTCTCTATATTACTTTGGCTTTTGAAGAATAGTGAACTACCCACCACTTACAGAAGTGGGGGCTTCTCAATTCTACACAGCCTCCATTGAGACTGCTCCTTGAAGGGTCGAACCGACCCATTCTGCTCGTTTGAGAATATTACGAGCAGCATTGATGTCTCGATTGTCTGAATACGGACAAAAAGAACAAGTGAACTTCCTTTGACTTAATTGGAGTTTTTGTTCTTTTTGCTTATCACATTCACTACAAATCTGACTAGTATTTTTAGCATTCACTTCTATTCCCTGCTTACCAGTTTCTGCCACTTTGTAAGCAAGGATGTTTAGAAATAATTTTCAACCAGCATCGTTGATGCTTTTAGCTAAATACTTATTCTTAACCATGTTTTTAATGGCTAATTTCTCATAAGCTATACCATCATACTTTTCCACTAATTCTTTGGCTAATTTGTGGGCTAAATCTTTTCTTTGGTTGCTAACTTTCTCATGTTGTTTAGCCAAAAGAATTACGGCTTTTTTTCTCCTTTTGCTTTTCTTCACTCTCCGACTGACTTTCCTACCTGCTTTGGCTAATCTTTTTTCGGCTTTTCTGTATGTTTTCGGTGCTTCTTTTAGTTCTTTATCACTCGTAGCCAAAAAGGAAGTTAAGCCTAAATCAATACCAACTTTTTTATTCGTTTTTGGGAGCAATTTGGGCTCAACTTCACTTGAAAAACAGGCATAATACTTGCTATTTTTAACTATGATAGAGCAAGTTTTAACTTCTCCCTCTAATTCTCGGTGAAGTTTAATTTTTACCTTGCTAATACTGGATAATCTTAACTTCCCCTGCTCTAATTTATAACTGTTATTATTTTGGGAGTAGGTGAAACTGTCATATCTCCCAAAAGATTTGAACCTAGGATAGCCTGCTTTGCCTGTCTTGTTTCTTAATCTCAAAAAGAAACCCCGAAAAGCCTTTTTAACTCTTTGGGCTACATCTTGGAGAACTTGGGAATAAGTACCTTGGAGATTGGGATTAGTTTCTTTCAGACTGGGTAAAGAGTTTTGCTGGTAGGTATAACTTACTCTCTTTTGCTCCTTTTCATATTTTTCTCTCCTTTCGGCTAGAAAATAATTGTAGAGCCAACGACAAGTCTCTAATGTTTTGTCAATTAGGGCTTTTTGTTGCTGATTTGGATACAAACGATATTTATAACTTTTTCGCATGATTTTCTCCTTGGCTTTGTATATATTGCTTAACTATTTCCACGGGTACTCCTCCGGTGGTCAGTAAGCAAAAACTCCTACTTCAAAAATGCTCTTTTGCTCTCCGAGAATGCTTTGCATTTCAGAGTTCAGATTTGATTTGGGGTTGTTCTTTCTTAATTAATCTAGAACTAGCACTCTTATAAGCATTGATAAACTTGCTTAATTCGCTATTGGGATGGGCTTTGAATAAGCAATGAATATGGTCTCCATCATGGTTTCATTCGTGTAAGTAGACATTATAATCTTCGGCAATATATTCAAAGATTTCTTTTAGTCTTTGGGAGATAGGGTTATCAATGACTTTTCTCCGATATTTGATAACCAGAACTAAATGAAATCAGAGCAAAAAGACTGAATGATTATTATTGTCTAGTTCTAGCATGCTAACCATATATAATATATTTTACTACTGATTAGCAAAAGAAGCTATTAGCAATTCATCCCCCAGTTATAGAACAAGGGGACTTCTTGCTGAAATTTGGTTAAAAAACTCCTAACCCTAGCTAACTCATTGCACTAACAAACACACCATTCACCAGTTTTTAATCAATTTTCTTTGGCCTGATTTTTCCTAATCTCGTTTTCTTCCAAAGAAATATTATGATAAGCAATATCTTTAACTTTATGACAAGCAGGACATTCGAAGCAATTATAATGAATAATTATTTTTACTTCTAGATTTTTACCGTTACAATTAGAACATCAGCCAAAAGAAGAAAGTTGAGTTTGAGAAAAATTACCTTTACTATTGCAAGATAAGCATCTTCACTCACTAATCATTATAATTTATTTTTCTTTCTCTGCACTAAAAATCTTATCTTTTAAATCTTTAATTTGGTCAGCAACTCCTTTGGCTTGTTTTATTCCTGATTGAACTTTATTTACTGTTCCCTCCAAAGTTTTATCAGCCTTTCCTTTCCCGTTTTCTTTTGACTCTGAATCTGATTTTTTTGTCTCACTAGTTAAGTCGGCTTGATATTGGCTCATTTGGGCTTCATAAGCTGCTTCTCTTTCGAGAGTTTTTAATTCTAAATACTCTCGTTCCAATTCTGCTTTGTGTCGTAATTTAGTTTTAGCAATTCTTCCCTGCTTGCGAATTAAGCGCACTTTGGGACTAGCCTTTTTCTTTTTGTAAACACTTCAAATTAAAGTGAAAGTAGTAACCAAACCAGCCATACCATTTATGGCACCAATTACAGACATTAAAATTTGATTCTTTTGAGTGTCTTGAATTACTTTGAGTAAACTTTCTTGATTATCTTCGGAGGACATAATTAATTGTTTGCCCTCGGTTTTTAATATATAAAATTTTAAGCTTCTTGCTTCAAAGAAGTTCCAATTTCCTTTTCGCCTTGCTCGTCGTGTTCTTTAGCGAAAATCATTCCTTCGATATTTTTAAACATGTTTTTTAAGCATTGGTATTCCTCCCATTCTCCGGGGGACATTTCTTTTTTTTGCTTTTCATTCATACAATTAATTTTACGAATATTTTGCTTCGTGTGGATAAGGTTGAATTTGCTTCCTAATTTCTTTTTCTGCTAATTCTTGGTAAGTCTCCAAGTCATAATTTTTTTGGAAGTTTAGCCAATATTCGGTACTAACTCCAAAATAGTAATAAAGGCGGTAAGCCAAATCTACGGTCAAACTAGTTTTTGCTTGAACTAACTCTTTAATAATTTTCTCTTCAACTTTTAAGTGTTGAGCCAATTCTCCTTCACTCATATTTAAAGGCTCCAAGAATTCTGTTTTTAATATCTCTCCGGGATGAATGGGTTTCAAATCGGGGTCTTTTGTCATAATAAATTGTTTTTCTACTTAATCAAATTTTTTTTCAATAATTCTACTTAACCAAATTTAAAATTTTAAATATATGAATTCAGTCTGCTCTACTTGCCAAAATCCAGTTAATTGCGTTAATTGTCAAGTTAAACCAATTATTTTTAGTTCGCCAGTTAACAATAAAAAAAACAACTCTAATTTTACTGAAATAGAAGGAATTTTACAGAGAAGTTTAGGAACTAAGCAAGACAAAAATGGCAAAGAGTTCTATTTTGGCAAATTAAAATTAGAAGACGATAGCGAACAACTTATTTTTCTTGTAAAAGTTTTTGTAAGTCTTGGTATTTGCTAGCTAATTCTAATAAATTATCTAAATTTTTTTCTTCTCTGATAGGAAAATTAGGGAGAGTGGGGGAAGGGAAAGTTAATTGGTGTGGGGTAGGAGTGCGAGTATCTTCTTCGGTAAGGGGGGAATTTAAAAGCAAGTAAGGAGGAGAATTAAAAATTTCCTTACTTTCGGGTAAATTTTGCGGATTGTTTTTTATTTCAGACTGGGTAAAGAGTTTTGCTGGTAGGTATAACTTACTCTCTTTTGCTCCTTTTCATATTTTTCTCTCCTTT